GTCGGCAAAAATTTTTAAAACCGTAAGTCCTAATCCTAACTATAGATTCCGCTGCGTTAGGATTTATTATTCAATAAATTTGAATGTGCACATTGTCGACGTTCCTAATAGAACCCAACATCCAGATGGCTTAGTATCTAGGTACAAGGCTCGGTTAGTAGCAAAAGGCTACACACAAGATGCAGAAATTAACTATACTGAAACTTTTAGTTCAGTGGTCAAAGCTACTACCATTAGAGTTGTGTTATCCATTGCAGTTTCCCTAGGTTGGGACTTGAAACAAATTCATGTGGACAATGCTTTTTTGAATGGAGAGTTAGACAGAGACGTATACATGCATCAACCTCCAGGTTTTGATGTCACAGACACCAAAGGTCTTGATTGCAAATTGCATAAATCCCTTTATGGTCTCAAGCAAGCCTGTAGGGCTTGGTCATCTAAATTTGGTGCTGCACTCATTTTTCTTGGCTTTTCAGTGTCTAAGGTTGACACTTCTTTATATTTCAAGCACACAGGTACTTGTTCCACCTTCATCTTAGTTTATGTTGATGATATAATCATCACAGGCAGTGATCCCACCATAATCCAATCAACAATCAATACCCTGGCTGCTACCTTCTCAATCAAGGATCTTGGTTCATTGAATTTCTTCTTAGGCATCCAAGTCACTCCTACTTCCACAGGTTTACTCCTCACACAAACCAATTACATTAATGATATCCTTGATAGGGCTGGGATAAAGGGGGCCACTAGCCTCTCCAGACCAATGATCTATCATCCACCCCTATCTAAAGATGATGGCCAGCTTTACAGGCAAATTGTAGGTGCTTGGCAATATGTGGCCCTCACTAGACCTGATGTAGCCTTCAGTGTTAATAAGGTATGTCAATTCATGCACTTTCCTTTGGATAAACACTGTAAAGCAGTAAAAATGATTTTGAGGTACCCTGCTGGAACAAGAGATTATGGCTTAAGACTAAACAAATGCAAGGACTTCAATGTTGTTAGATTCTCATATGCTGATTGGGCCCCAAGTTTGGATGATAGAAGATCAACCAGTGGCTTGTGTGTATACATGGGAAGAAATCTGATTTCATGGACTTCAAAGAAGCATCATGTTGTCTCTAGGTCATCCACTGAGGCAGAATATCGAAGTGCAGCACAAGTGGTTTGTGAGATCATGTGGATACAATCTCTTCTTGATGAGTTGAAAGTCAAGTTTCAGAAACCTAGTGTAGTCTGAGTTGACAATAGAGGGGTTGTGTGTTTGTCCAGCAATCCTGTGAACCATTCAAGAACAAAACACCTTGAATTGGATCTCCATTTCATGAGAGAAAAGATAGAACATAAGGTAATCTCAGTCCAACATATTCTAGCAATTGAACAAGTAGCAGATATTTTTACAAAGGCCTTATCTGGGCAATTCTTTGCATGCTTAAGAAACAAATTGATGTTGACCTCCAGTGCATGCATACAATTGAAGGTGGATATTAAGGTCCTTCCAGCACAGCATGCACACGTCACCGGTTGTGAAGATCAGCCTAGTCAACTTGACAGCCACAAAGAGCATACTTTCCAACCCAACAATGAATATGCCATGCATAGAGATAAAAACAAGAAAAGGCAGTTGTCATTGAGCTACAAGACAAACAGGAAACCCTAGGTTTGATGAAGGTTGTGATCGATGGTCCAGAAACCTACACGTTCCCCTCCTTACCTTAGCTAGTTGAAGATAGCCGTCATGTATAGGTTTTGTGGTAGATAAGAAAGAAGAGATGTATGGAAAAAGTATTCTACAAGCTAAGAAAGCAAAAGCATTCCTTTACCAAAATGAAAGAAATTTGTCATGGTTCATTAATGGTTCTTATTTGCTTTTATTACTTGATTTCCATTTCCATTACTTTCTTCTTGTTTGGGCTCAGACTTTTCTCCGGACTTCGAGATCGGACTTTCTTCTCGCTTGTTATCCCATTGTTTGCCGGTCTTTAGGCTTGGACCACCTATCGCTGAGGGGATGAAGCCGAGTTGAGTGTCATCCTTCATGGGACCGATCGTCAGTCTTCTGCGAGTTGAGCTAATCCACTTCGTTGGGGAGTTTAAGTCCTGGATCTGCTCTTACCAACTCGAATGCCAACATGAGTCGTTGAATAACACGATTTATGAAACTATTCGTTATTCGCAATTATTCAAAAATGATGTATTTAATGCATATTATAAACTAAATAGACTTAAAATATGCGTCAACACACCAATTCATATGATAACTCGAAAGGGAGTGATCAACAAGAGAATTTTCGAATTATTGAAAAANGAGAATTTTTGAATTATTTAAAAAAAAAAAAAATGGAGAGAATTAAAGAAGCCTATTCCGAAACCCAACAAGAAGAATCCGTTTGACCTTTCCAGCCAATGAAAGGAACCAAATAAAATTCATATTCTTCAATATATATCACTTTCACCATTGTCACAATAATAATTAACTACCGTAAGCTTCCAAAAGCCACAAAGCCATGAACCAAAACTTTTTCACGGAAATTTCTCCACCATGTGCGCATCATCATCACATCCAGAAACTCCGTTTGGGCTATGAATATACTTTGGGCGTGTGTGAGGCACAAACAAATTAATTAAAAAGAGAGAAAATCTAGTTTGCGCATATATTTTTTTTGTACGGGCAATTGACTAAGCAAATGAACTTCGCTTTGTCTGAAATTTAGGCTTTATGACAGTCTCGACAAAAAGAATTCAACGGTGGATCACATACTTAAAACTAACGTGAGACGACACCATAATTTAGCCGAAAATAGAACAACCCTGCATTATGCAAAAACTGCGAGTGTTAAAAATATGTCAATAAAATGGACAAAAAAGAAGATGGTTGATTGACCATCCAAATGACTAGCTGCAAGAAGATAAATGAAGTCATATAATAGAGAATTGTGTTGGATTTGCAGAACAAGTTAAAAACAATTATTACAAATGTAATTAAATATAAAT